TAAGGCAAGAAAATCATTCCAAATAGAGAGTTTCAAGCTATAATATACTGAAATATGTATACCTATCTTTAAAATTTTCTGTCAAAAATACGGCAATTTCGGAGTATCTAGTATTGTTATCTACGATTTATTTTTAACACTATAGAACAACCAGCTTTGAATGTATATCTAGTTTTATCACATATATATCCATTAGTTTAACAGGTTTTGATATATTTAGATATACAGAAATTCAAAATTAAAGTAGTGATGGAAAATAAACTGGCATATATGATCATTTTTTTTATCCCAATCGAAGTCAACATATACATTCCGGCAAAAACACTTTAATAATTTTTGTAGTTTAAAATAAGAAATCTGATGAAATAATATCCATTATTTTGACGGGTTTGATTGGTCTAGTGTTAAAATAGTGTAAATCTAATTTTGAAATGCAGTGCATTTTAAACCAGATATAGATTCAAACCAGATATGGTGCGCGCAATTTATCACTTATTTTTTAAAAAGCTCTTGAGAATTTTGTTTTGAGAAAAACAAGTATTTTATTTAAATATATGCATACATATGAACGAATGTACAGACGGCGTCATTAATGCTTTCCAGCTGTGTTCTGGGGATTTCTATAGTGTACGTTACATGTACTATGCCTTCAGGTGGAAGGCATTAATGACGCCGTATGTACATTGTACATATATATTTCGAGTTATTTCAGGATAAAAGTCCGGAATTGAAAGGTGTGCGCCACAATCGTTGGACACAATCCTAGACTTAGATCACGAGAGATCGCGGAATCGGAGAATGCGCGAACTTAATGACATCTGGCTCCGAACGAACGGCTTTTCAGACTTTCGCGTCCGCCCTCGGGCTTTCGCGACTGGCTATTCCCTGAGATCTATAATGAGAGGAGATAAGCCGTTCTCATTGCAACGATACCGCTCCGACACCTTGTTCAAACTAAAGCAATTACATCGACAGGAAAGTTTCGCCTCGTAGTCTAAGCACTTTGACTAAGTGAATCTCGCAAAAGGTCGTCAATATTAACGCCGGTTCTAACTTTTTTCATCCTTCATATTGACTGCACAGATGCAGACCACCAACAAATTTATCGTTGCAATAAACTTCCGTTGTCATTTAAAATCCATCTTGCTTTTAAAATCTCATTATTCATAATCGATAGATTTATGGAATTGTAAATTATTTTTACACGCATTTTTTTTTAGAGATAATTAGTACACATAAATGTTTCTCTATATCTAAAAGTTTTTCTATTTTTTCAAATATATGTTTTATATATATTTACCAGATATAAAACTAGAGAATAAATTTTAAATGATTTATAGCAAACTGCGACAATTATTGATTAATTATTGGCGGTTGTGATATATTTTGAAAAGCGTCGAGAACTTGACTAGTCATGGATGAAGCTTTGTCATCCGATATTCCCGGGAAGAGGTCGAGAGATGATGTTTAGTCACGTGAATGCGGGTGGTCAGTAGGGTCGACTGGAATATTGGAATAGTGAAGAACACTCCGGTGAAGAGAGTTACATGCCGCTTCCGTTTCTGGGCGTACGTCGTGGGCGTGCACGAAAACTAAAATCAGTCCGGAAATCTGCGCCGGAAATAGCCGGTTGGCGCCGCACGATCTCTCACGTGGGTAGGCCGCGACGCGGGCAACAAAGGCTGGCAAGGAGAAGTTTACAGCCGCGAGAACGACGTCTATTGAATCCCAAACGTTTGCGCTCTAATGGAGATTTAATCATGCCCCCGAAATAACATCTCGCGCAATCGACATCACGAACATCGCCGCAATTTTAGATCATTGTTCAGTCTTATCTCGCGTTCGCGTTCAAGGTTGCCGAGGTTGGAATAATATCGCGCTAGAAGATACATTGACGCGTAACATATCGGGTAACATGGAAGGATATCGACTGGAAATAAGGGTAAACCTGCCAAGACAATTCTAATATAACCGTTCATACATACGTTATTAACAATTTGTTTTGAATATCGTAAGCTCGTCTAGCTTATTTATTCTTACTAAATTTTTCTAAAAGATAAGTCAATCTTTATTTTTCTTTAAATATGCCACAAAAGATATAAAACTTTATTTCAAGTAATTAATGTTACGCTCTAACGATAGATTATAGATATGAATCGTACGGTAATGACCACAATATAAATGCAATTTGTGTCGGCAGCTTGATAACTTAAAAAGAGCTCGGGATTTGCTTAGGTCCCTTTGCTTCGACGCAATTAAAAGGGTCAAAGTCGAGAGAGTCTAGTGCTGGTGGATATCGGAGGAGCATGAAGAGTGCGTTCGGTATTAAAGCACGCCTGGTAAGACAACCCTGAGTGTTGTTAGAGTGGCCGATGAAAGGCCTCGACACTTGTTGACCAAGCCGAAGGGTTAGCCAGGTCTTATATTGATGTGACGCAAAGAGCATGGGCGATTAGATCCGTAACTTCATAAGTGAACAGATAAGAATGGAACAATTAAACAATCTATGCTATTACGCGAGTTCTTGAAAAATCATGCAATTTCATTCGCTACTAATATACAAAATTTTTCGATCTTGAACCTAGAAAATACAACGAGTATTTTAGCGGATAATTTTAGGAAAATTTTCAATCTGTATAATTAAAATAATTATAATAATATATAATTACATAATAATTATAATAGCGATCAAAATAATTAATAATAGTAGTTGCTTTATTATAATGTATTTAATTTAATTATGATGGTTAAATTGTGAGTTAAAACGCAGAAGAGTAGAATCCGCTAAATTAAAGCCCGCTCAGAATTTAAAGATTCAAGATTCTTCTGTGCGCAGCAAAGAGACAGGAAAAAAATCAGTAATAACAATCCTGATGACAGTTCTTAATTTTTCGCGAAAATTTTCACACGCAGTCTTCATTCATTCGAGTCTCGGTTACGGTGGATGCATCGCATCACCACGTTACAGCGAATCGCGTTACGCGTGCAATGCACACAAAAACCAGCAGTAGCGGCAGCGGCGGCGGCGTCGATGCAACGCGGACACGCGCACTCCGCTCTTTCACAGACCAGAGAGTCACAGTCACGGTCACGCTTCGAGGGTTGGACACTCGATATAGGGCGGGCACGGTGGAAGCGCAACGTTCGGCGAGTCTGAATGAAAGAGGAAGAAGGAGAGAGAATGGGCAAGAGGGAGTGTGGGAGAAAAAGAGAGAGAGAGAGAGAGAGAGAGCGAGAGAGGGAAGCGCGAGGTCGTGGAGTAGCACCCATTGATCCCATACTCTATCTGCTTCTCCCCATCGCTGTCTCTGTTCTTCGTTATCTCCCTCGCGATCTCTTTTCTCTCTGTAATTTTAGCACTGTTTGTGCAGATACTTACATACTCGATTATTACATGTATATTATTTGCTGTTGCGCATCTGTCATCGAACAACGATTTACTTTTATTTTTTATTCATTCTTTATTTAAATAAAGATTATTTATTTATTAGATCTCCTTAAGTTCGATTTTATGTGCCTTAGAAGTAAAAAGTCTTGTTTTAGGAATTTAAATAACTCATTGTTCTATATAATCTATTTTTATCATGATCGACATCATAATTCTTACTCGTGTCGCGTGTCTGTGCTTTTATTTGCTCAATCACAGCTTTAAATAACTAGACTACCTTTCGAATCGTTACCCTACTTTTTCTTAGTATTATAGATTTAGTTTCCGGAGTCATTTGTTCTTATCATTATTGCCTGTATTGTTGTGCCCCAGCTAAATTACTTCCTTTCACTCGATCGCTATTTATTCCTGGGGCGTGCTTCTCGGAGCACATAATAAACTTCTACTCTATTCTACTCTCTCTCTCTCTCTCTCTTTTACGTGCCGGTATTGTTCCTTTTCTGCTGCTTCGGTATAGATGACGAACAATCGGGGAGAGTCCATTCCATCGTGCACCTGGAGACCGACGCGACGCCGAGTTTCTCTGAGTCTCGTTTCCTCATTCGACATTTTTTCCGCCCAAAAACCAGCGGGATCACTCGCGCCTCCAAGTGGAACGTAGAAAGTGCCGGTCAGCCAGTCGACGCTGAAAAGCGCGAATCGCAAACGATTTCTCCGCGACCGGCACGGCGGCACCTCGCCAGCACGTTGATAATATAGCTCGAAGGAGCAATTAGCACCGCCGAAAGGATCGGTCGAGAAATTCTTGCCAGAGAAAAAGAGAGAGAGAAAGACGATATAAAAACTTACGCGTCTAGACTTAATAAAGTATTATAGGTCGCGTGTTATGCGAAAGTTGCGATCTTATAAGCAAGAATTATCATCGTAGATTACTCCAAGTTTCACGAAGAGCAAAGTTTATCGGATTATTGCGTTCACGAGGATTTAATGATGAGCCGTTTTAGCACGATAATATATCCGGCAAAAATGTATGGCAACAGACTTTTGTCGCCACTGGTATTCAGTGCAATTAAGGTACACAACAAATGCGATATATCTTATCTGCTTTATCGCACGACTCGGCAAATATTTATCGCGCCAAGAGGAGCCGGGTATCGGGTGGGGAGTCATACTATTTAGCCTCTGCGTGTCATTTTGCGTTGCGACTGGCTAGGCGAAAGATTCGTTCGAGGGAATCGCGGAAAGTTGCCAAAACTTTTCATCACGCGCGAGATCCCATGGATATCGCTAATCGCAAGATGAAAAATCAAGTTTCTAACGTACGGTCGCGGGTGAAGTTAAATTTCAAGTTGTAGCAAAATTAAAAATGAAGTGAGGCGAGTGCAGACGATTGATTGTTGAATAAGGTGTGCAGGACATTTTTCTCGCAGTATCCGTGCAGCGTTCGCGGTGCAGAATCTCGAGGAAGAAGTGGTGAGGGAGGAGGATCCTCCGCCGCATCCTCCGGCACGCGGAGGGTGAGCGAGAGAATTGCGACGGAGGAACCGGTGCGCCGTACCGGTGATGTGTACGGGGGTCGGGGGGGTAAGAGGGGAGAACGGACGAGCGAGTAGCGTGCGCGGGAGGGTGGAGGAGAGCCCGCGACTAGCAGAACGGAGTGGAGTGGCGAACGAGAGGGCGAGAAAGAGAGAACGCCGAACGGTCGAGCGAACGTGCGAGCGAGCGAGCTAACGGGGACCAGAAAGGAGGGCGGAAGAAGGGGGAGAGACCCGTACTCGCGCGCTCGAGAGACCGAGAGGGAAAATCCGGTTGCCTGGCGACGAGCCATCTAGTTCGATCCCAGCCAGCCACCCGACCAGCCACCCTCCTCCGGTCTCTCCTCGTCATCGTCGTCGTGGTCGTCGTGGTCGTCGTCGTCGCAGGAGCGACGACACCGCTGTGCCGAGGGGAACGGTGCTCCGCTTCGCTCCGTTCCGCTCCACTCCATTTCGTTCCGTTCTGTTCTGTCACCGGTCCCGGTTTTCTTCCCGAGAGCCGAGAGATCGGCAGCGAGAGAGAGAGAAAGAGAGAAGAGAAGCTGCCCTTCTTTCTCTCTATCTCTCTTTGGGATCATTTTCTCGCCGTTGGTCGCGTGGGATGCGTCCGGTATCGAGATCGCGGATACCGGACCATTGTCAGCGCCTTCGTTTCCGAGCCGCAACGAGCTTCGGATAAGTCGGGAAAATGCTGTTCTGATCGCGGCTCTCTCTCCGCGTTGCGAGGCGTCGTGTGTACGGGGCGATTCGATATCTTGGACACGGTGGTCGTACGTCGTTGTCGGTGTGTGAACTTCCGACGCGGGAACATTTCCGAAGGACGTTTTGCGCTGAGAGTTATCCAACTGATCTCTTCCGTGGCGCGAGTGTGTGTTTCATCGGTGCTCGCCTGTCACCTCGACGTGACAGCGTGGGAAATTGCGAGTATTACGCCCTCGCTCTTTCTCTTTCTCCTTTCCCTTCGGCGGCGGCGCGAGGGAAAGAAAGAGGGACCGTGGCAAGTGCGTTTCCCAAGGACGTCGTCCCAGCGCATCTCGCTGGACTGCGTGCGCGCCCACAGGTGATGTCCTTCGCCTGCCACTAACAAAGCGAGAGGAACTGCGCCCGGCGTCGTTTTCGCCACAACGAAATTATAACAGCAATGTTCTCGCGAAGAGAAGAATAGACAGGAACCGCGGTGCGTTCCCCGTTCACGAATGACTTCTCGAGAGGAGAAGGCAAAAAGAAATTAGTTTCATACGCACAAATAATATTTATTTACTCGAAATAAAACGTATTAAATAAATGTTGTGTAAAATTAAGACAAATATAAATGTCCATCACTAGCAACATTTTAACGCCCAATTCGGAATATTGCGTCAAATTGCAACTAGATATGCCACTGCGTCGCTAATTAGTTGGAACCACCTAAGTTGAAAAGTACTGCAGCTATAAAAGGAAAGAGATATTCATTAAGAACGAGATAAGATTGATAATTATTAAGATAATTACCAAGAATCAGAATCCTCTTCTAATTCATTATAAAAATACAAGTCAAAGGGAGGCTATTTCGTAAAAGAGAAGAGAAGGTGATGAAATCATTCATTGTAGGATTACAATACGTACAGAAAAAATTAAGAAAACGCGACGAGGAAGAAAGGAGAGCAAAGTATATCGATGGTAGGAAGAATTTATGAGGGCAATTTCTTTCGGCGAGATCGACGACCCGATTGAAGTGCACGAGGGGCAATAAGAAGTGGAGACGAGGAAGATGAGCCTGGACCGTCGTAGTTCGCGGAATCTCGCAGGCAGGATCGTCCTGGGGACGACGGCGGCCGCGGTGGCCTTCGATGGAACGCCGTACGGTTCAACGACTTAGAGTTGCGTCCATAGAGCTACGACTTATACGTAACGTTCGCGCTTAACTGACTGCCCCTTTCCGGACCGTGGCGTAATACGCGACGTAGCATAAGATCGCTAACTATCGGAGATCGATGACAACGTAAAAGCTGATTGAACAACGAAGAAAATTCACGTTCTTTTTTTCCTTGACATGTAAATCTGGAAATAAATCGAAATACAGGATAGTTCCTCCCATAGGAAATCGAATTAAATCCGTCGAATGATATGGCAACGTCTACATTGGAATCCACGACAGAGTGACAACCGTACATTGAGATCTACATTATTCGAGATTAAAATGCGAGACTCCTCTTTGACTCGCCGCGCAATTGTGTTCGCGACTCGCGATAGAGATCTCGCAGATACGTAATTTAGATTAAGTGCGCTTCGTCGTGATAAGAAGAAACTATCTTGTTTCGGAAGAGGCGCCGCATTCTGGAAAATCCTCGGATCTCTTTCTCACAGACAGAAATCTACGAAATTCACGGCATCATGTTCCAGTGCATCATACAGCAGAGGAACGGCTGGATCCATCCCTACACTCCCGATACCAAGGATGTCTTCCCAGGTACCGTCAAACGAAAACTTTGATATAAATAAGTCTAATAGATCATCATGCGTGCATTCAACTCTAAAGGTGATACGAAATACAAACAGAGCTATACGATATAAGTCTAAAAAAGAAGATATCGGATATTGGAAATTAATCAAAATTTCGATGAGACAATTTTTATAGCAAGATATTTAATACTTGAATATAATGATATTAACATAAAATAAATAGGTATTATGTGCGAAATATTACGTATTTACATTTTCTTACGTGTCTACATTATTCGAGTATCTTTTATTAAACCATGATACTCTTCTCAAGGTTCTTCAATTACTTAATCTAAACTTTCTTTTTATATCTGGGATCATAGAAAACAAATTATATCTTACAAGAAGGAATTTTGTTCCGCTAGAAATTAAACTTTTTCATTGAAAGTCTTTTTACAAAGAATTATTAAAACGTCAGAGCAATAGATCGCCGTCGCCTTATGCATATATAAATTCAAGGAATTGTGATTAATATTTTCGACTGAAGGCTTATTTATGAGGGAATGGCTTTTATATATGCTGCGTGATGTCATATACAATATGGGAGATCTACGAGGATACTCAACACTCATATCGCAGGATGGCGGTGCGGGCGTTCGTTATAGCTGTATAGAATTTCTGATGGAAGAGGAGTACGCGAGGGAGCGTATGACGCATGGAAAAACGCTGGAAGTTAGAAGATAACCCGCACTGATAACACCGTAGTCGTAGTAGCGAGCGAAACGAGCAGGGAAAAAAGGATAATATAGTCGAGTGTAGTTAATTTCGCTTATAATTGCCGGTTAACGAACGCTAGCGGACGCATTTTTGCCGTTGGTGAGCTACGAAAGTTCAAATAGAGAGGGATGTAATGACTACACTCAATGCAAACTAAAGTACAGACGGACTACGAGAGTCTCTCGATAAGGCGCTTTGAAGCTTTCCGTTTCGCGTTCAATTAACGTCCCATTGCTTTCTCAGCACCGGTGATATTTTAATACATTCAAATTCGTTAATTAGATATAAATTATGCACAAAGAAACAATATTAAAATGCTGCTGTCTCAAGGAGGAGAGTTCGAAAAGCATGACGTTAAGAATAGAATTCTTTATCTTAAATTTTATATATCATAAAAGCAAGGTTCTTAATATTATACAGGATTGTTCACCGATATCGTATTTAATTTTAACAATCGATTTTATAATAAATTTTGAGTTGGCTTTTTCTTAAAAAAAATTGTACATAATATGTATATATTTGGCTTGAGAATTTTAGTTTCTGATTATCTTTTTAGGTAATATATGCATGTTAAGGAATTAGATAAAAGTCGTATCGGAAAAACAAATTGCTGATGCCTTTTTTACCCTTTGAAAATGTTAACACATGCTAAAAAAAAGGCAGACCTGCGTGTTCACGTTCGCCTCGTGTTCAGCTACTCTGTATTGTTTACTATTCCTTTTATTATTTATGCTGCAATGTTCTTTAACCATGCACGCATATGGTACAAAAGAGACGCGGAACATTTCGGTCGATAAACGTGCGTGCACAACGAAACTCGACGCCAGAGCAGGAAGCCGTTAAATTGACACGTCGCCGAGGAGGAGGAGGTGCGTGCGTGTTGCGTCGCGTTTCCTCCATAGTTATGTATGCGTGTGCAACGATGCGACACATATATTACGAATACATGCGCTTGTATAAAGGGTTGCACTGGCGCACCTCTGAATCTTCAGAAAAGGCTGAAGAAATACAAAAATTAACGCGATACTTTATTAATTACAGAATCTACCACGAGTTTTTAATACAAAATTATAAACAAGGCTCTTTCTTAAACGGATTTAGAAAACATTTTATTTTGAACAAAAAAATCAATGCCGTCTTAATTCTTTGCAATTCTATATCAAAGATACAATGCCTTGTGGCAATCTTTCGCGTTGTCGTTGAAATATTCGAATCAGTGTACGATTATAACGAGCACTATATTTTTGGAATCTCCATAAATTCCACCGAATGATAAACATTCTTTGATTTGTATTAGACTCGTTTAAATGAAATTAAATAAAATTGAGATCAAAATACTTGATTCACATTTATTTGAGAGAAATAATTTGAATCGCAAAGCGTTTAAGAAAGAGTTCGAGCAATTTGCTGTGAAAAAACTGTAGTGCCCAAGTTTGTTGTGCGTGCATTACTGTAACGCCGCTCCGGTGCGTCCGACGACGACGTCGATGTTTGCTATCGGATAAATCGTCGATGTGTCGGCCCGCGTGTATGTACCTGTCCGCACGATATAAATAGACCGACGCGAATGCGTCGTCGTGGTGACGCAACGTGAAAATTCGTTCGTCTAATTTCGCTGTCGAGCTCCTTCTCATTTGATATCATATTCATCTCGTTTTCGGTACGTGAGACGCGCTGAATAAAAACAACATGATATCTGCGAGTGTATGCGACTGGAAATAATATTTTGCGATGTTTGCAACTATTTTCAAACGCCACTTTCGCCACTTTTATACAAGAGTTTTATCTCATGAAATCAAACAACGAATTTATATTAATATAATTAATTAATTAATTGAAGTACTTTAATTATATTATTATACAAATTTAATTGAAGTTTTATAGTGATATAAAGAGAGTAAGATAGAAGTCACGAATTTGAGAAAAAAATGCAAGGAAAAATTTTCTTATTTTTTATTTATTGCGCGCAATGTGTATCTAGGTTACACGCTGTTTTAGTGTATAAACTTCAAGTTGAGTAAATGAGAGCCCGCACGTGCGGTTTCGAGGCGCAGCGGCGCAGCGTTGCGAATAAACTGCATTGGCGTATCGGCTGAATGCAAATGCATAATAAATCGTTCCAGTCCGTCGCGGAAGTTCGAAACCGAAAGAAAGATTATCGAAGCTTCCAAGTAAGAAGCTTTCGCAACCATATTAAGTGATATAATGAAACATATAGTAGTTCGAGAACTTGCTCCCTTGTGATATCCCTTTTATTGCGCGTGATAAAAGCGACAATAAATGCGGACGGAGCGGACGGTAAGAGTCTCTCGAATGTGTATGCGTGTGTATTAATCTCCGCTCTGAATGATAATCAAAGTAATAATGCATGAAATAACATTGACAGCCGTGCACGCATCTCGTCACACTGGAAATTGAATAGCTATATTGCGGTAAACCATTAAACGACGCCCGCGTCTGCCCAATGTTCCCGAACTTAAAATGTTAATGAACTAAAATAGATATTTTTTTCAACAAATATTAAATTTTTTCTTTCTGATATTTTTGAAAAATAGAATATTTATACGGCTCTAGATCTCTTCTTCACGTTATCTCGTATAATTTTATACGAGATTTTACTATTTTGATCTTAGTTTTATGTTTAAATTTTTAATAACAAAAATAGGAGATTCTTTACAACTAAAGGAATTTTTTAAAGAAATTTTTTTATTTTAAAAATGGACATTATTTTAATACAATTTTAGAATGTTTTTTCTTGTTCTTTATCATAAATATTTAACGATAACTGTGTGTATACCTCGCAGTTCTCCGGTGTCAATTTCTGATTGTTCCACGTGCGAACGTCGATAACAAAAGTAGTTCGCGGCGCGAAATTGCCAACCTCACTTCGAAACAAAAGTCCAGCGAGATTTCATCCGCGATCGACGCGACCGTCGTTTCCAGCCAAGAGTTAAATAATCGTCGCTCTCTCGCCCAATATCACCGAATAAAAGCAATTACTTGGCCAACGTTTCTCTTTTTCTGCACACGAACTCTTGTGCAAATAATCCGTTTCGTTCATAGTATTAATTGCTTTTTTATTTTTTATGCCTATCTTTGTTACGATGCTTTTGACTCGTTCGGCATTAATTAATTTTTAAATAGATATTCTTATATGATCGGTGAATATTTAATATATTATATATATTATAGACTCCAAAGAAATAGAAAAGAAGAGAGATTTCGTCTAAAAATGTATTAAATAGAAAGCTTCCCGTTGAGAGTCAGAGGTCTCTGACTTTCAAGGCGCGCTATACATCGAGAAATTATGTCAATCGTGGGATATACTTTAAGGCGCATTATACACGGTGCCGGAAACAGAAGATTTTGTGACGCAGAATTTCGTGATGTTGAGTTCGACGCGATTCTTGTCAGTGGACGACTGTTTCTCGTGGACGAGCGGTTGCACGACTTTTTTCCTCCAAGCTCCCGCTAATTGCTTCGTGCGCGACAATTGTGCCGAGCATGAAAGCGACACTGGCGGCGTGACAAATTGAATTCGTTTGTGATCTTTGGCCGCGCTCGGCAAAATTGCGCGTTTGGTTCAACCGCTTAAATGCGGCCTCGCGCTGATCCGAAGAATTTCCGTTCAGCGAGGGAAGTTATTTCGCCAATTAATTTCCAATTTTGCCGATAAATCGTCCCGATATAGTCTGGCGATAGAATTCGCCGTAACTGCCGTAAGTCATAATAATTGCGTTACAGCTGGACGCGAGATCATCACGAATGCGAGTCGAAGAACGATCTTTATCCGGCATAATTGAGAAATCTCACTTTGCTCGAAAAAATCATTTTTTCAATTACTTTCCGTGGATGAAAATTGCTTTACCATAATTATAATCTAATTTTAGTTCTATAGAATTTAATTCTCCGAATACGTCTTGCAATTACGTTTTAAAAAATTCTGATTAAATTAAACGTAAATGTTATGAGCCAAAATGGTTTTTATCAAGAATAACTTTGTTTTAATTAAATAGACATTATTTTGCTGTTAATTAATGCGATTAAGTTCTAATTTTAGCATATAATGTTATACGTGTTTGTATAGGAAATTTATTCACTATCAGCAAGAATATAGTATCAGTGAGAGCTTCTTTCGAACTCCATTTGATGAGAATTGTTCTTCGCAATTTGAGACGAAAGAAATAAGCACACGAGATAGAGAGAGAGAGAAGGGGAGGAGAGCGGAGAGAGGATCAGTTTCTCCAATTA